ATGCGAGTCGATGAAGCCCTGAGAGTCTAACCACCTTTGCTATGCTGTTTTGCTTTCCACCCAACTACGTCGAGATGCCCCTTCTGGGACACTTTAGCGTGGATGCTCGGGCTCTGATGACCTCTTTGCGTTGGTTACGAGCTGTAGAGATGATGATGAGGTGTGGGGGTTGTCTGGACAGAGGTTGCTGGATAGAAGCCCAAAATGTCTTGCAGCGGGGGGAATTACAGGACACCCAAGTGGTAGGTTGCAGACTTGGGGCCTGCTGTCTGGTGCTAGGGGGAACGCTCTCCAAACTTGTGGTCGTTCTTTGGGGTGATTCAAAGCTATGCACACAAACATATTGTGTAGGAGAGGGCTGGAGGCGGAATGCAGGGACCCAGCTTCTTCTTTTTTTTCTGGTTCTCAGGCAAAAGGTTGCAGTTGCAATTGGGAAACAATAGAACACTAATAATCTCTTTGTCCAGCTGTGGTTAAGCACATTCTATTCCTTTCCATTTCAGGCAGGCATGTCAAATTCAGGCTTGTGGGCCAAATAAAACCTGCAGACTTTATGGTAATGGGATACTATGGCAGGCTATACTTCATTTTAAGGCTCACTTTCTGAGGAAAACCACCATATAATTGAAACTGATTTAAAATACTAGCTAACATGTAATTAGAGGTTATACATTTGATATGAATCTGATTGGATATTATTTTCTAGTAGGCTTAGATTGAAACTCATGTCAAATAAAATGAATTCGTCAAAATACAAATATATGTACATAAAAAAATAAGATAATGATAATAAAAGTAAACCACTTTCACTGTTATGCCCCAAGCAGCTCTAATGTTGTTAAACTTGACCCCCGCCAAAACTAGTATGGCATTTTATTTTGATTCAGTTTTTTTGTGTTTCTTTTTTATTTTTCTGGGTTGACGTTGTTGCTGAACAGGCCAGTTGTGATATGAAAGGTGGAGACGGAAAGACACTAGAACAATTTGGAGGTCAGGGTCGCATACATTAAGTGTTTAACAGTTTTAATGCCAGTACTCATTCACCTTCATCTATTTTGACAATAAACAAGTGTCCTATAGCTACTACTAATACTTCAAAATAATCAGTCCATAAACTCTGACAACTCTACCACAATAAAAAATACACATATCCGCTGCATCGCTATAAAAACCGCAAGGATCAAAGAAGAAAAAAATGGCAGCATGTCATCTGGAAATTACAGTAGATTTTTAAAATATCTGTTTTCTAATGACCATTGAATCTTGATTAGACAACGCTCGCGATCAATCAACCCTCACCATCATCAACTCTAATGACTGGATCTTATACCATTCCCCTTACTTTTTTTATGGCACCTTTCTAGGTACTCAAGGTTGCCGTACAAAGGGTACACAGTAAAGAGCAAAGCAGTTAAAAGCATCCATCCATTTTCTACCCTTTAATCCATTTTTTGGGTCAGGGGGGTGGCAGTCAGCCCCTCACTGACCCTCTGCAGGTGGTGAGTCCACAGGAGAACGGCTGCTCTCTGAGTGTGAGCATAGCCTTGATCTTTCAGTGGGGGCTTTGGGCAAAGTGGGATTAAGTGTCTTGCCCAAGGACACAACGACAGCAGTCATCAGTGGGAGTCGGTGGAGAAGGTGTAGAGGTGGGAATTGAACCCACGACCTTCAGGCCTGAAGGCCAATGCTCTACCAACTGAGCTACTGTCGCCCTAAAAGCAAAATCAGTAAAAAGACAATGAGGAAAAATAGGCTAAAATACTATGGGTAAAGGCTATTTTTGTTGCTATTTTTTATTGTATCTAATGTAAAAACAAACGGATGCAGTTGTTAACCAATCTTTTCCTTTGCGACTTCCACTGAAAACTATTGGTTGGAACGACATCACCCATATAACCACAGTGCATTTGCAAATCGTTTCTACAATCCGCTGTGCTATAGTAACATCACCCCAAACATGAAAGAATAGACCATTGTCGTGAGATCCGATGTCGGCCTCGCATTAGCCGTGGATGTAAGCGTTCTGTTCTCTGTCATCCAGCGTGGACAGAAGCTCTCCCAGGATGCTGCTGCGTGGTTAGCTTTGAACCACGGGGCCGAGGCGGGTTGGACGAGACACAAGGGGTTTGGCAACACACTGTACCAAAGCCAGGCAAAAATGACGGGAAGAAGCTGGAGAGCTGCTACTTGGAATATATTTAATTTAAATGCTTCAAGGGAAATGTTTTTCTTTATTTTTGCATTGGTCTTGGTTTGGGATAGTGTGTTAACATGTTTGCACAGTGAGGCAGTCAGGGAGATGAGCTTTTGTAGTTTGCTTGGTTTGAATGCAGCTTATTTCTTATACAATTCCCTTTTAAACTAAGGAAGTGGCCTTGGTCCTGGTTCTGTAGAGTCCTGGGTCTATCCACTCAGCCACCGTGCCGCCCGGTGGCTGAGGGGATAGCACTCTCGCTTCTCAGCAAGAAGGTCCTGGGTTCGAATCGGAACAGGGCCTTTCTGAGTGGAGTTTGCATGTTCTCCCCGTGTCTGCGTAGGTTTCCTCCGGGTGCTCTGGTTTCCCCTACCACTAAAAACATGCACGATAGGTATGAATGTAAATGAGAGAGTGAATGGATGGTGCTGATTGGAGGCTGATGGTCCAGTGTGTTCGGCGACTCGCTTCCGTCTTCACCGTGTGTGGAATGATTGGAACAATATCTGAACTCTGAACATTTGGGTGACCTTGGTCTGTAAAATGCATCATATAAATAAACATTACTTACCTTCCCAAGGTTTATAACATTTTTCATCTGGGTTTTTCCTTGCCGTGCAGGAGGGTCAAAGGCCAGTGGGGACATTTATGGACATTGGTCGTCTCCCCAAATGTTTTTTTTTATTTTTATCATTGCCTCATGTTCAAACTTTTTTATTCTCTGATCTGTCTTGGGAAATTCAACGTTATTGTGAAGTCCTCAGAGATAACTACTGTTGTGATTTAGCGCTATACAAACATGAATTTAATTGAGTTTACATAAAAATTCAAAGCACTCTCACCTTGACTTCTTCCAGTTGAGGTGGCTCATCTATTTCGGTTGCCTCTGGGATGCTTCTCTGGGGATGTGTTCTGAGGATGTCCCACCAGGAGGAGGCCCTTGTAAGACGCATATTTTTCAGGCCTTGGAATCTCTCGGGATTCCCCCTAAACAGCTGGAGTATGCGTGAAGAGGGAGTTTTTGGTGGTGATGATCCAGGACACTCGACATTTATGTGACATTGGTCAGCTGCCCCTTATGGACCGATGGCTCTATGTGTTTCTATCATCACATTTCTTGAATTTGAACTGTTTGATTCTCTGATCAGTGTTGGCGAATTCATTCATTTTGTAAAGTCCTCTGAGAGAACTACTGCAGTGATTTATGACTATACAAGAATACATTGAATTGACTTTAGGTATGGGGTCTTAGACTACTGCCACTCAACAACGGATAGAGCAGAAGAAAGAGAATAGACGGTTGGATTTTTCCTTTTTTTCATTGACTAGACATCCTTGAAGGAGGCTTGTCAAAACAAACGTCCAGGCTCCAGCCATGTCTATTTTTACATGTTCCCTCGTTATCGCAGTTTTCCCAGTCCACCAGAAGCTCTCCCTTCTTGCATAACTCTGATAGAACATTTTAGGCTGAACTTTATTAGCCTTCTGCTTTAGCTCCTGGTCCCAGTCGTGAACATTCTCAGCCGACTTGTTCTGACTTACCTATAGCACTGTTATTGAGGTTTTGAACTCACATGCGCGGATGTGCTAAAGTCTTTCATTACGGCCGTTCTAAATGACAAGCTCCATTACACGAGGAAGCAAAGTTTTAATCAGCATCCCCAAGGCAAACGGTAGAACAGAAATAAGTAGGTCCAAATTTGGGAGAATGAGTAGTTGTTGCAGTTGTGTTGATTCTAAAGTGAGTTATAAAACCACTTACATATATAAAGAACAACTTTTGGGAGCCTTTTGCATTTGGCGTTGGAGCACATTGTTAAGCCATTTTCTAAACAGCCAAAAGCCTTTTTTATTTTCTTTTTATTTCTGATAATAGTACCATGAAATATAGCACTACTAGTACTTTAAAAAAAAAATATATATATTATGCTGGAGCACCTAACTTTGAAACCAGAAGTTATGAGCTATCCGTTTGTTTCTATCACTAGTTCTCACCTGCATGTATTTTTGGCCTCTAACTTTTTACACTGCACATTTTTGGCCACATTTATTTTGATTTGAGAATATTTTGATTGCCTTCAAACAAGATATTCCAATGGGACAGGCAAAATGTTCTTCTTGGAATGAGAAAATAAAGCAGCAGTTCTTACAATCTGGTTTTTAAGACAGTCAGAATGTACCAACATCAAGATAAAACCACTTGATTAATGCAATTTTTACCTCATATTTTACATTTTTGCAGTATTCCAGCCCTTACTCAACTAATCACAGTATGTAAAAGATCAAATATTTCATAATTTGATAAAGACAGATTCTGTTGAAACCAGCATATTGAAGGTACGCTTTGACGAATAATGAAGCCCAGTTGTTATACTCTTGTTTTCTCTATAAATACTGTGTTTTGCAACCCAGTGCAATGTATCAATTGGAAACCATCAGACGTCCATCTGTTGTTATTAAACCAGACTTACTTTATTACTTAAATATAAATATAGTTGTCAGATGGAATTCCTTTTTTTCTGGACAAATTCTTCATTGGTAAACCACCACCAACCCCCATCACCATGACTTTGAGCGTGCATGGCTCCCCGGCACGTAAAAGTGAGCGTCTATCCGAGCGTGAAAGTACTAAGGTATAGTGGAGAGAGAGAGAAGAAAGGTTAGTCCGGTGACACGCACACCGCTACAGGAGCCAAGCCTCCTCATTCCACAGCACAGAGGCAGGTCTGTTCCCTCAACAAAACAGCACGCCCCATCAAAGCGCTGGCACGGCCCGTCTCCATGGCAACGCCCTTCAACACCAGAGATGCTAGTCGGGACACGGCGTTGGCAGAGAGACGCTTCGAACGCCATAATCACCGGGTGCGAGCAGATGACTGATGGCCCAATATACCTCCAGGCATCGTCTGGAGGTCAAGAGCCGGTTCCCCCCGAGTGTGCGCATACTTTCCCCCAGAGGAGCCCGCCGAAAGCCCTCATGGGACGCCCGCACTGCTTCCTCCAGGGCGAAGGAGATGCAGGTTCAGGCGCTTTTTGTGGTAATGATGCTGATAAAGATCTGTATCAAAAGTATTTAATAAAATACTATGCTCTTAGATGCCATACCCCTTTTTGTGATGTTCAAGTACAAATCAAGAACAAGTATAGAAAGTAAAAACTTACAATCACATTTTATTTGTATTGCCATTGTGAGTAACAGGAAGTCACAAACTAGGAAATTACTTTGGCTTTCAGTGCAAACAAGTAAGAAAAGTCAAAATAGAAAAAGGCATACATAAAAGAAATCAAAAAGCAACATGACGTTTCTTAATATTACTGCTATATAAAAGAAAAACTGATCTGAAAGCAAAATGGGCAACGTCCAATAAATGGTCGGTCATAGTGTACTGTAGATGTGGCTGGTTTGCAAAAAGTGGATTTAATGCCCCATTTCACACAATATGTTTATGAGCAAACTGCGGTGACTCTCCATGTATCTTCCCAAATGTGCAATACATTACATTATATAAGAGTTTTGTTTCTCTTTGGTCTTTGCAGAAGCTAATCTGGGCTTGGTTGAGATCAGAGTTTAAAAGAATGCAACTCTGACTTTCGAGCTTTTAACCATGAACCATGTATTTCATTTTAATTTTTTTCATTCAAAGATGATTGATAGTGACTTTAACAATGAACTATAGGACAGCACTTTGTTGTGATGTTGTTTACACTGGCACGGGCAAATACACTGAATAACTGGACCTGTATTACATTGGGGAATTATCAAAGATGGAAACTTTCAATGTGAAGCAATTTCAATTTAAGGGAATTAACAGGTGATTTTCAATAGTGAGGGTTTGCTCTTCATAGAAAACTTAAACATAGGAAAGTATATTTTAGCTCAAGTAAGTAAGCTTTGAGGTCATCATGGGGAACTTCTTTGACTTTCAAATAAATATAAACATTTCTCATGAATGTTTCCCTATGACTTCTGTTTATATTTATGCATTTTTAATAAATTACAATTCATTCCCAGATGTAATTTTCCCAAAATCACTACAGAGCAATAGACGCACCACATGAATTTGAGTTCATTTAATTTTGGGTAAACCATATTTGCTTATATTCTTAATCGTGTACTAAAATACAGTACAGTCTTCCTGATATTTTTTTAAAATGTATTTTATCTGTGTGCGATTTGTTTACTTTCTCTTTTGTAAAATACTTTGAGTTGCCATGTTTATGAACTGTGCTTTACAAATAAACTTGCTTTACTGTACAAATGTTGCATCATTACAACATGGAGTTCCCATCTCCTTTGAGCCAAGTTATCGTTTTGGAATCACTGTCTGTGGGAACCAAACCTACACCACTGCGAGCGGAAACCAGGAAAGTCCCACTTTCCTGGTGAAATAAAGGTCAAGAAAACTAAATGGATATAATGCCCCTACAAATCACATTTGTCAATATATACAAACTTTTGGTCTGTACTTATACATGGCTGGTATCAATGAGCTTGGTGGGCAAAGTCTTCCCTTTAATTTAGAAGAATTTCAAGAAAATATTGGCTATTTGTTAATGTATTATATTATTAGTATATAATAAGTAATATTTTATTGTATATCTATTGTCGTTGTGTTGATTCACTTTTGGATTATTTTGTGTTTAGTAATTGATGGCAATATTCACGAAATGTTCTAAAGGCTTTTTTTGTTTAGTTTTGCTGATATGATTGTAGATTAATATGAAGATGATAACACTTGTAGATTATAAATAACTTGTAGATGATAAAACAACACATTTTTATAAAATAAATAAGTAATAAATGCTTAAATCAAGCAGGTTTTTTCTAAGTCTTCTTGCAAGATTTGCCATTGGGACAAGTCATTTAGTCATGAAATGTTGCACTTATTTCAGGGCAGTCAAAATATGCTCAAATTAAGATACATTTAGCCAAACTTGAGCCATTTTTGAATTATTTTACAGTGTACATGATAGAACAATAGCCTAAAAAGACTTATAGCCCCACCATGAATTTATATGAGCAGCCGCCACTGAAAATATATATCTATAGTTCATGTATTCTCTGTCGGGCGACGCAAAGGAGAGAGGGAGAGAGGCAAAAGAAGCAAACAGAAAAGGGGAGGGATACAGTTACCATCTATCCCCGGAGAGCTCTCCCTCTCTCTCATTTTGGGCACTGGAATCACAACGCTGTACCCCTCACACACCTCTCCTTCTCTTCTCTTGGCCATATACAGCCAGTTTGGACATTTCACGGCACGCTGTCAAGAGCAAGAGGGGATTGAACACGGCGCCTTTGTCCACGCCTTTACTGCTCAGTGATTCAGAAGCTCTCTCTTGGCACGCGTTGAGGATTACCGCTGTTGTTTGGAGTTAGGAGGAGGAGGGAAAAAAGTCATTTGCTTCTCCCAACTGTGGCATCTGTACCAGAGAAAGGTCAGCAGGCAAGAGAGAATGTTGACGTCCAAAGGATTTTAGAATAAAGAAACTACTAGGATTGAATGCTTGATATGCAGGTGCGTACTGAGACGTCATTTCAAAAGCGGCGGAATTGCAATCATTCTCTGCATTCTTTCTCATGCTATATGAACCTGCACGGGCTTTTTAAAGAATCTGCTCCATGGGAAAGTTGTAGCTGTAGGGAGTTGACATCTTTTCATGACCCGACGTGGTGATTTGTGGCCGGGGAACTCGGCGTGGAGCCACACGTGTTTCCACTCACGGCGGAACATGCTTCTGTTTTGGTCCTCATACCGCGATTGTTAAGGGCGCTACTGTCGGTTGCGAGGCTTTTGTTATTGCGTTAGTTCTTTTTGCCGGATTGAGACGGATGCCGCTGACCTTTTGGCATTGTGCGAACGCAAGAGTGACAGATAAACATGAGCGGTCAGGAGGTTGTGTGTCTTGTCTCCTCCAGAAAGAGAAAACAAGAGGTTGGAATGTTGGATGTTGTCATGGGAGTTTAGCTTGTTCTAATGAATGATTCTAATAATAACCTGCCTAATTGTGCAAATGCTACAAAAACAGTACTTTGAATTGTAATATATTTAATGTTTTGATATTGATACTCATTGAAAGTTAATATTTTTCTAATAGCTCATGGTGATTTATGTACGCCTTGATATATGTATGGTATATATGAAATCAATTGTTGGTCTCAAAATTCCTTACTGAGTTGTACAGCTCCTGAATTGTTTTGAGGCGTATAAATCGTGTCCGCATGTCGCAGTAATTTGGCGTGAAAACATTTTACTCCCTATTTTACTTGACTTTGATGCATCCTCGCTCTGGTATAATAAATGTGATGCAAAATGACCTTTGGTAATCGTTTCTGGTGCAGAGTCAGACATTAGCGTTTTAGTGTAGATATTATTGTACATTTTGGCTTTTATCGTGTGCATTCTTTCTTTGTACATACATTTAAAATTGGTCATATATCACAGGCTTGACTTTTTTCTCAGTGCGGAACTTTGAAATTTAACATTCCTGTGTATGAACATGGAGTTGACACGACTGTAGAGAGACCACTCCTTGAATGTAATTAACATTTAGAAACCATGTATCCGTCACCTTTATCATCATTATCATTACATATATCAACAATGGACACAAGCAGATGATGAACGCCTCATTAAATAACTGTTCTGTTGGTGAAAACTAGGGCTATTTTGTTTATTCTCTGGAGAAGGGTTGTCAAACTTGGTGGTGGGCCAAATTTAAAAACATAAAAGCTGGCTGGGGCTAAAATAATTATTGTGCATTTATTTTCTGGTAGGTTTGAATTCAACCACAACTGAGCCAAATATTGAGAAAATAAGTGTTTGCAGACTGATAGTTCATTAACTACTAACTTGTAATTACATGACTGTTAACATTTTAAAAGATTCAATGATGTGGTTGTTTTACTGATGTTACACTTTCCATCAAATGCTTCAACTTAATCCAATAATCATAATTGAAAATCAGTTCAGGGGCCACTGAGATTTGTCTTGTGGGCCGGATTTGGCTCTCAGGCCTGAGTTTGACATGCCTGCTCTGGAGCATTGCCATTGCCATTGTGATTTTGTAAATGTACCGCTCTATCATTTCTGCTTCACCAAACTGCAACCAATATGTACAACTGCCTTTGCTGATTTAAACTTGTCAAAAGTATGTTTCTGGACAATCACAAAGATATTCTGTAAGAGTGATGCTTCACACCTGTGCTCCCATGTGGACCGTGTGTCTCCTGCAGGATTTGATACCATTCATCAGGACACTTTATCTTTGGGGCCCCATCCCAAAGTGTTTCAAATGTGGGGAAAAAGAATCAAATGATTATAGTGGCAAATCCTAAGTGTTTATTAGCACATTGTTTGGTTAATATCAAATATCCACAAAAAGGCAAACCACACACGGCTACATTACAGGACCAGCTTACAAGTTAGAAGCCGGTTTAGCAAATGTACACTTTCAAGAATGTAAAAATTACTACTTTGACTTATATAATTGCACGAACAGATTATACCATATTGCGAGTTTTGGAGCCACTGATTTTGGCATGGCATTGCGTCTTTTTCTCACCTCACTGTGCAATTAGTGGTCAGATGAGTGAAGACGTCCCACATCCACCCGTTAATTAAACAGGAACTGATATGGATCCTGTGTCCGGAAAGTAGGCCGATGCAAAACGGGCCAATAATGACGACTTAAAGGGGACATAACATGCTCTATCAACTTGTCACAGCTTTTGTTTAGTCGTTTGTCATTGACTCACTGTTGTTTTAAGAGCAACTATGTAAAGGGGTAGAACACAGAACTATATGCCAGGACTGAGAACAGAAGTTCCCCATTTTCAGTTTTTGATCTAATGTCTTTTTGATATAATCGATTTTTCAAAGATATTAAATATATAGACTATCATGTAAAGCAAAGAATATTGATTTAATAACTGCGTCTTATGCATATCATATTTTCTGTAAGTAAGGGGGTAACAAAGTAACTCTTCTCAGCTCTGCACACACACTAAGTAGTTTTAGTGCGATGTGAGCACGTTTAACAGATTGATCTTGTTCATGCAGTATAGGAGAATAGAGTATACGTGAGGTTTAGCCTCATGCTTTGATCGATATCTTGTTTTTCAGCGTGTGGTTATCATTTGTCAAGACGTTTATGGTTCTGTCCGCCTGTGGGAGCAGATCCCTCTCTCACCTTTTTCCCTCTTATCTGGGGTTTTGACTTGTTCCTTGTCAATGCATGATGGACTAATGACGATCCAGGGCATTTCAATGTTTTTATGTCCATTTTTGCACAGTGGTCATCCTGTCCCCTTATGGACTTATGGCTCCTATTTTTTGCCATTTTCTATCTTTGAACTGTTTGATTTTCTGGTCTGCTGGTGAAGAATCAACAACTTTGTAAAATGTATGGCTAAATACTTTGAATGGATTTTAATTGAATTAATCATCTAGTCACCTGTTGGAACAATATCTTTCTCTGCTGTGTCACAGCAGCAGAGGTGGTGTAGCCGCTGGCGTTGAGCTGCTTCCTACTGTAGTCTCTGGCTGATATATGCCAAGTCTGCTAGTTACAGATCAGTTTCTCTGCTCTGGTTCAGAATGAAATTCTGCCTTTCAAGCCTTTAGAAAAAGAAAAAAAATCATTCCTCCAGTAGAGTAAGGTTAGGGTGCATCCTCTCTGTTCTGGTCTTGGTCTGTGTAAAACCATGAACACTGTACAGGAATCAAATTTACAACTAGAAAAAAAACAAGAAAAAGGAAGACTGTAAAGCACAAATCAACAACTGTTTCAGAGCTACTAAGACTTGCTGTGGTTTCTAGTGCAAAAGTAAAAGCAATGCAAGACAGTGAGGCCAGTGAAAGTCAGTCTGTACAAAGAGAACATGCTTACACAGAGCAGAGGTGAGTTGTAGTCGTAACACTGGCCTCATGTCTTTCCCATGACTCAGTAATTTGAATAACCCCGGTTTATGACATGCAGCGGTCGTGCCCCTGTTGCTTCAGAATCCAAGGCGGCCTTTTAAATTTGTCAGTTGTCCAAACACCAGCCACAATTGCACATCTGATATCCATCATTTCCTTGTCTCATTCCGTCGTCTGTAGCTCGCAGTCATTTGGTCGAAAACTATACGAGGGAGCGACGGAACAGCCAAACCAGAGCCCACTCAGCGCCCAGTGCGGCTGACCATGATGAAATACCTGCTCCCTCTGTGATCCTTGGACTTTCGCCCCCTCGCAGTCCCTTTTTACGAAGCCCAAAACCCAACACGCTGTTTTTTTACGACCAAATAATGTCGCTGAGCTCACCCGCCATCCAAATACTTCAGCTTTCCAATGTGATAAATCTTTATGTTGTGGTTGTCTGAGGCAGTTAGCGTAGCAACCATACCCACTGGCTAATTTTGATTTTTTTTTTTTTATAGCATGTGGTAGCGATTTAGCGTTAGCAGTTCTGCCCTCAACATGTAGACAGATGATTATTCACCAGGAGACGGGGTTGGACGCGGGAAAGTTTCTCTTTTCTTCGCCCCCGTCCTTGTCAGTTCAACCATCGCACCATTGTTTGGGCACAGCGGGGCGATCCTGTTGTGTTTAAGCGCTAAGTGGGTGATGATGGACCTCAGTGGAGACAGTGGAGAAAACACAGATTCTGACCTTAAGATCTCATGCAACTCTCATCTCGTTCACTGTTGTACTCCTTTCTCGGCATTGCACAGTTTTTGTTTTTCTTACTATTGCATATTCAGAGCTGTGTTTGTATGATTTTTTTTTTTCTGTCAAGCCTTTATTATCATTTTGGTGATTATGGCTTTCAGTTCATTTTCAAAATATTGATTTGGATGTTTTGTATAGTGTTTTTTCAAGAAATGTTGGTGTTGCAGCGCACATACAAGGATTAAGAGCACACATGGATATACAGAGATAAGGAGTTGTTAATGCATCTTAAATTGATGAAAGATCATGATAATCGGAGCAATAAGTATATAGATATCACTGTAACTTTATGCGTATTGAGTCTGTCTTAAGTTTCACATTTTAAGTTGAGTTACAGAAGTAAATGGTATGTGATGATGATAATGTATTTTTCAGAGTGTCATCCGTTTACATGTATGGGTTTTGCAACTTCAAACTTCAAACAAGTGGGGCGACAGCAGCTCAGTTGGTAGAGCATTGGCCTTTGGGCCTGAAGGTTGTGGGTTCGAGCCCACCGCAAGAACTACTTCATGACTCCCACTGATGTCTGCTGTCGTTGTGTCCTTGGGCAAGACACTTAACCCCACTTTGCCTGTAGCCCCCGCTGAAAGATCAAGGCTCCTGTGGAGGATCAGTGAGGGGCTGGTGCTCTGTGTACTGGGTGTAGCTCTGACTAGCCCCCCCCGCAACCCAGAAATGGATTAAGGGGAAGAACATGGAAGGTGAAAATAGTGCTGTATTGTT